ATTAAAAAAAAAAGATATAAAATGTATCACAAGAGACAATGTAAAACAACCAAAATGTGATGTAAGAAGACCATAAAAAGTTGTAAAATTACCCAATTATAATAATAATTATTATTATTATTAATTATGAAAGACATTTGATTATTTTAAATTGATACAGCAAATACTTTCTGCGATTTAAAAAAAAAAAAAACGTCAACCAACTTTCAGCAGGTTTTTTCTCACATTGAAATTTGAAGCTGTTTGGATTGTTTTTGTGACAAAATCACGTTTCAATGATTCCATCATAGAAAATTCAGAGTTTTTGGAAACTCAAGACTGCCCTGATGTAAACGGTCTTTAGAAGTGGATGTAAACTTTAGTTCACGACTGTACCTGTGCTTCCCCTGAAACATTCACACAGTGGGTAAGTTCCAACAGCAACACTACTTTACTGTTTAGTCTGCCAGAAAACAGACATCGGGTAACTCCATCTTAAATCATCAAATTTGACACAGATAGTGACGTCACAAGAGGCGTCTCCCTCCAACTGTCACCAGTCAAACTGTGATGTCATCAGTTGGCGCAGCCAGACAAGCAACTTGTCATTCTGACTGTAAATACAAGTGACAGTTATGTTTAAAAAAGTCATCACGATGGAGGAAAATACTGGCATGACTGTGCAACGTATAGACAACAACAGAACCTTTTTCACAGCAGATGTTTTGGCTGATCAGAGCAGAGAAATGACGGGGAGCGTTTCATAACGGTGGCTCAGTTCCATTACATATCCCAGTAAGTCTGAGCAGTTATTTTTAAATATTATAAATTACACATGAGTTTTTTCCTGCTCTGACAAACCAAAATACCACTGCTGTAAAAAATATCTCAAGAACTATTAAAGATAAAAACCAGAAATGTTCACTGTTATTTCTCTTCATGTCACTGATTCAGAATCTGTAATATTGAACAAGTAGCTCAAATTATCTCAAAATACAGTGTGTCAAAAAAACAGACAATTTTTTTTTTTTAAAGTTTCTTCTCAGTAAGTATTTGATAAATCAATTGAAAATATCAGAGATCTTAAAAATCCATAGTTCATGAAAATTTCTTTTTTAAAAAAAAAAAAAAAAAGCTTCAAGCAAATCAGAGATGGTCGACCAGAAGGCTGCTGATGAGTTCAGACAGAAAAACCCACTGTGGAGCCGTGAAAAGTGGCCAAAAAAATAACCCACGATAATAGATTTAAATCCTCACAAAGATAGAAATAAATGTTCATTCAAACAGTGCAGCTCACAGGAAAAGTACATGTGCACAGAGGTGAGCTGGTTTCCCAGAAAGCACCTGTGGTTCTGAAACTTGTGGTTGACCTTAATGATTAGTACAGAGACACTGTGGTCGGAAAGTCCTGAAACGTCACAGGCTGTCAAACTGAGAGCACAACACAGCAAAGATGAGTGAACCAGTGAACTTTCCATGTTGATATCAGTTTGGTTTAAGGAGAATAACAATTTTAAAACCCACCAGGCTTTCACCAGAAAACTAACATTTAAAGCCTGGACTCTCCTCAGTCATAAAACTACCTCAAAAAATGTAAAACTAGAATCGAACACAAAATTATCTCAAAAATATGTAAAACAACCAAAATGTGACACAAAATCACACAACAATGATGTAAAAGAGCCAGAATATGATGCAAAACAGCCAAATAAAGACGTAAAACAACTCAAATGTGACGTCAAATGAATACAGAGTTGAAAATGATCAAAATATGATTCAAAACTAAAAAACATTTACAACTACTCAAATCTGACACAAAATGACCACAAAACTATGTAGAACAACCAAAATGAGATGCAAAACCACCCAACAATATTTGAGTTGGAAAGAACTGGTGTAACTGAGTCAGGTTTGTTGGTTGCCTTGCTCCACACGCCTTTTCAGCTCTGCTCACAAATTTTCTACAGCAAGGGTTCTCAACTGGTCTCACCCTGGGACCCACATTTTTCCATGGTCACTAAGTTGCGACCCAATTTTTTTTAGAATTCAGTATTCAATATATTTTCCTGTGCAACATGCATTTCAGAGCATATAACCATGTATAGTAACTGGACCGTGACAACTGCATGTACAAAACTGCACAAAAAAAGGGCACAAAACAACATATTTTCACTCCATTTTGAGCAAATTAATAAGAAACTAATGAGGACCATGACAACTGCATGTACAAGGGGGCACATTATATATTATTTAATTTTGGCCAGCTGTCCACAACCCACCCAGAACAGGACCGCGACCCACTTTTGGGTTGCGGCCCACCAGTTGAGTACCACTGTTCTATAGGATTGAGATCAGGGCTTTGTGATGGCCACTCCAAAACACTGACTTTGTTGTCCTTAAGCCACTTTGTAACTACTTTGGCGGTATGCTTAGGGTCCTTTGGAAGTACCATTTGTGCCCAAGCTTTAACTTCCTGGCTGATGTCTTGAGATGTTGCTTCAATATTTCCACATAATGTTCTTTCCCCCATGATGCCATCTATTTTGTGACGTGCATCAGTCCCTCCTGCAGCAAAATATCCCATAACATGATGTTGCCACCCCCGTACTTCACACTTGGGATGGTGTTCTCAGGTTTGCAAACTTTCCCCTTTTTCCTCCAAATCTAACGATGGTCATTATGGCCAAACAGTTCAATTTTAGTTTCATCGGACCACAGGACATGTCTTCAAAAGTTAGGGTCTTTGTCTCTGTGTTCATTTACAACCTGTAATCTGACTTTTTTATGTTGCTTTTGGAGTAATGTCTTCTTCCTCTCTGAGTAGTCTTTCAGCCCATGTCGGTA